CAAATCTGGGGGATGTTATGCTAGTGAAACAGGCAGACACAGAAAGAAAAATGTTTGCATGATCTTACTTATATGTGGATTTTTTTGTTTTTAAAGTCAAATACATAGGAACAGAGTAGAATATTGGTTACCAGGGGTAAGAAGGGGAAGAAGAAGGGGAGATGTAGATTGAAGGGTACAAACTTTCAGGTGTGTAGACTGAATAAGCCTAGAGCTCTGAGGTCCAGCAGGTGCAATTATAGTTAATGACATTTTTTGTGTGTATACTGAAAGTTTGCTAAGAGATTAGATTTTAGGTGCTCTTACCACATGCACACACGAGATCTCTAAGTGAGGTGATGAATGTGTTAATGTGTTTGACTGTAGTAATAATTCACTATGTGTATGTGTGTCAAAATGTCATGCTACAGACCTTAAATATATATACAATAAAAATAAAAATAAACAAGCATATAAAACTTTAAAAAAAAACATAAAGTCACATCACCTCTTCCCTTGGACTTGAGATTGCCTATAAGACATGAACTTCTTAATCTCTGGGCTGTCCCATTTAAGGCGAGAAAGGAACAATCCTCTGGGTGCTTTGTAGAAATCAAAGAAGTGATTCAGGGTTAGGGTAGTGGAGTGAACTACTTTTGTTTAATTATTGTCCCTAGAACTTAGTAGCTGTGAGACCTTTATATTGCTAATCCTCATTCTTACATATAAAACGGTGATAACAAAATCCTTAATGCACTGATTAATTTTGAAGGGTTAGTGAGATATTTCAAGTAAAATTGCTCAACGCCATGCCTGACACATAGAGTGCTTCATGAGGGCCAGCCGCAATGATGATGGCAATGAGGCTGACTCCATGAGAATGGGAAGATGAGGATTTGGGCACCTGCACTGGTCCTACCAATGGGATGAATACCCCTATGAGGCCGGGCAAGTCGTTTTCCCTCACTGACCCTCAGCCTTCTCACCTTTTTTTTTTTTAATGAAGGATTAAGCCAGTGGATCGCAAACATCCTGGAGAGCAGTGACTCTATGGTTCCATCGACAAGAATATGAAGGACTGAGAAGATCCCCAGCACTGCCCACTACACCTTCCCACTGAGAAGCAGCACAGCACTCTGGTTGCAGGGGCTGTACTCAGCCGGGCCAGGGTGCTCTCCTGCTGACCATAACCAAGCTCACAGGACGTGGGATGAGGCTACTGTGTGGCACAGGGAGCGGGACACAGTCTGTCAAGTCTTGCATAGCCAAGCTCGGCCATGAAGTCAGGCCTTTCCTTGGCCTCCCTCTCCCTGCTCATGATCATGTAAACACCCACCTACGTGGATAGACTATATGGGCTTTGGTTCATTATTGCTCTGTGAATTCCTTGAACTCCTGCATCTGCCCAACCTCCCCCACCCCATTGTTTTCATTGTGTTTCACCAAATGGAAATTCTAGAGTAACCATGTAAGTCCTCTCCCAAACCCGTTCACCATTGAGAGTGCTAAAATGCTAACCCAAGATGCTAGCTGAGGGATAGGGTTACTTTATCTTTAGAGCATTGTGAATTGTGTGTTAAGTGAAATTTAAGGAAAAAATAGTTAATTGACCAACATGAATATCTCCCGAACAGAATCCTACAATGAAACTAAGGGAGATAAATAAAGCTGTTTACCTGAAAGCTTTCTCTAATCAAGATCCTTTGAAATTTATAAAACATGGTCAATATTTGCACCGGACTTTGTAAAAATAAAGCTTGATGAGAGAAGAGTTTGAAGTGAAATGCTGCCACTTTCTATGCAATATTTGATTTAAATTTAATTCCTAGAAACCTCAGATGAATGTGGTTCATGTATCAAAGCACTCAGCATAAGTTATCATGGCCTTAAATACACAGTGAGCTTACGTGTGACTGAATACATATATAGACTAAAAAAAATCCCTGTTCCCTTAAGAGCAGTTAAGGGACACTATGTATCACATTTCTTGGCACATTGTGGATATTAATATCCCCAAAGTGTCAATGTCAAATGATTTGACTTGAAATCACTAAGCTGGGGAATCTCACTATTTTTAAACAAGGCCTAACATCTTTTAATCTTGAATACCAGCAAGTTCTCAGACTTCAGTTGTTTATTTTCTCTTTTCTTTCCTTTAAAAAATTCTGAACAAGCTCGTTTTCTTGATACAAAGAAAGTGAATACATTTTATTTTGGTTCGAACAACAGAAATTTGCCGCTCATAGTTCTGGAGATTGGAAAGTCTAAGGACCAAGCTGCTAGCCAATTGAGTTCTTGGTGAGGACTCTCTTCCTGGCTTGTAGACGGCTGCTTTCTCACTGCATCCTCTCATGGCACACACAGAAAGAGAGAGAGAGGGGGCTCTGGTGTCTCTTCCTTTCTCATAAGGTGTCAGCTCTGTTGTATTAGGGTCCCACCCTTAGTTACCCCCTTACAGACCCCATCTACAAATAGAGTCACATTGAGGGTTAGAGCTTGGCAGTGAATAATTATGGAGGTTATTGTTGGCTTTAGAATTTAGTGGTAGAAATAATAAATTGCCTTTCTATTTATAGTTTATTTTGTTTAACATTAACATGTATTTGCAACAATGAACAGCAGGTGAATACATTCTGGGTAGGGGAAAAAGTTAGAGGAGTGCTATTCAGAAGTTATATTTCCCAGGAATATGGGAATAAAACATTCAATATTGGTGATTCTAGTAGATGAATTAAATTTAATTTGATGTGGAGTGGCCATGTCCCCTGTCTCAGGATGCCGTGTGAAGCTTGGCTCTTGGCCATGTCACAGCTGTTTAGATTTGTTGAAAGATGTTTTAAGTATCCTAGAAAAGAGTTTTTCATTCCTTCTAGAACTGATAGTTTTCTCTTAAAGCATTAATTTATATTTTAATGTTGATGTGGTATCCATCTTAGGTTACTGTTTGGCACTAGGTAATTGAATTTTTAAAAATTTCCTTTTATTTTCTGTCTTCTTTTGGGAGAGAGAAGTGGTTACATTTTTATTACAGGAAGGATTTTTCTCTTTCTCTATTATAATACCTGAAAGCAAATATATATAAGCTATATATGAAGTCACTAAAATTCTTTATTCTCATTTTATTTTCACTTTTGGGAAAGATTGCTGCCAATATTTGTGAGATCTCGTTTCAGTTTTATCTTTTACTTCTGCATGTCTGTTATCTTAGCCATGCAATGTTTAGTTTGAGGCAGTTTCACCCAAGGGACACACCTTAGGATAGACTCTCATGGCCAGTAATGAATGACTGATGGAGAGAACAGCAGTTTATAGGTTTTTTTGTTGTTTTCAAGGAGAAAAATTAACGCCCTTCATCAAACCTCCTCTTTCTTCCTTCTCTCCTCCCCTCCATCTCACCCTGCCTCCCCTTGGGATCTTACTCCTGTGATTAGTTTGGGTTCCACACAAAGAAAGATTTATTACTTTAATGTCTTTGTGATTTAGTTTTATGTGATCTTCCTAGGGACACCAGGGAGTACACTCTCCCCTTTCTGAATATGTTGTAAGCTCCTTTGAGGCAAAAATAAATGTTCCTGTGTTAGAGGAACAGAGCAGCCCTTATCATCTTCTTGAATCTTATCTTTCTGAGTTAAACATTTGGCATCAGTGACGAAGTAAGGCCAGACATTGAGGACAAGAGACGTCAAATGCCAAGTTTGTAGAAAACACACAGTTGATGCATTTCACATCTTTTAAATTCTTCTCTGTGGACTCTATGCTTACTATTCCTGAAGATGTTTACCAGATGGGAACATACCTCCAAAAAAGGAGAATTTTAATTTCTTCTTATGGTACTTAGATGCTGGATTGCATAATGTGGTTGTAATCTTTAACTGTTTTTTTTTTTAATATTTGAGATTAAAAAATACTTAGAGGGGCAATAGTTAGGGCAGGGGAGTATTCAGTCCCCTTCCAAAGATGGTTTTTGGCTGGGTTAGCACCTCGGCCCTGTGTTGAAGGAGTGAGAAGTAAACTTGTACCTCTGGCCACAGCTCTAGCTTGTGTTGGAAGTTTTGCAGAGCTGTTGATCCTCTGCCAAGTAGACCAGTGATTCCACATAAATGGGTAAGTTGGTTTTATCACCCATTATTCCACTGAAGTGTATATTGGCTCAGGTCGAAATGTTGTTAATATCCACTTTACACTCTGATCAAGCCCACCATATTCATGATTGGATTGATTGGTGTCTCACAAGAACTCCAGGGACACACCGTCTCTCCTGTTCTGCAGGTAATGAACCTGAGGGTCAAAATGAAAAAGTGACTTCCCAAGGCCAACGATAAGTGCCAGACCATTAAGTTCTTCTTTAGATGTCAAGTCCTTTCCATTCTGCACTGGCATGAACATCTCAAGTTGAGGCCTGTGAGCAAACACCTATGTCCTAACCAAAAGACTAGGATTCCCGAAGAAACTATCCAAGATGATTTAAATTTTCTGGGCCTTTCCTTCTATGGTGTGCCTATCAGTTAGGATTCTTTACAAATAACAGATAACCCAAATCAAACTGCTTAAGCAAAAAAGATGATTTTTTAAAAATCTCATGTAGCTAAAGGTACAGAGTAGGGCAGATATCAGAGGTGATTGGTTCAGAGGCCAGATGATGTCATCAAGACCTGCCTTCTGCAGTCACGCTTCGTCTGAAAGCTGGGTCCCCTGTTTTCTAGGAAGGATTCGGGACAATCCACAGAGAGAGGGCATTTTCCCAAGCAACAATCTTGAGAGGAACCCTGATCAGATGGTTTATGTCAAACGACCAGATGCTGTGGCCAGGGAAGGAAAGATGCTGTCTTGGTCACCCCTGGCACCATGTAGTGTCAGCCTTCCCCACAGCCCATGGAGCAGGGGAGGATAATGGGATAGCAATTCATACGGCATCTTTAAGGAGAAGTGGGTGGGAAGGTGGACACTGGATAGTAAACTAATAACGGCCATCCTGTGTTCCCATGCTACAGATATCAAAGCCTGATTCTCTTCATTTTCAGATAGAATCTTCAACTCAGAAGCACCAGTCTCTCTCATTTGAGAAAAGGATGAGAAGGAAGGAATGGCCTGACTTCCTCATGTGTGCCCTGATTCTTGGTAGGCACCATGTTGGGGCTGCCACACATGTGCTGAAGCTTTGGGAATGTTCCATTTAAATACCGATTTCAAGGCCAATGCCTTACATGGAGCACAAATATCCAGGTACTTCTTTGATTTCTTCTCTTATACTTCAAACTCTGAAAACAGAAATTTTTCTCATTTGTGTTTGTATCATCTAGAGTACTTAGCAGTGCTTTGTCTATAGTAAGTAGGTGCTTAATGACTATTGTATTACATTAGGGCCTATTCAGTGATGGTTTGAGTTTAGAAAAGAGTTTCCCTTGCATTAAGTTTGCCAGTTTTTGATCAGCATCATTAAAGGAAAACTAGCTTTACCTCTTTAATAATTTGTTTAATTCTAATTCAGTAAAATTTTTGTGGTATGCTGACTACATGGCCTAAGCTATTGCAGGTGGTTGAGATAGTCAGAGTAATAGAAAAATATCTAAGACCAAATTCCTGTCCTAAAGAAGTTTGCATAGTTGCAGGGGCCATAGATAAGAAAGAAACATTTACGAAGCACATCAAAAGTGTCTCAGAAGAGCTGTATACTTGGCCATGGGGGCAGCAGGTAAGGAGAGGAGGGAAGGGAAGAGGAGGAGAGGGGAGGGGAGAGCAAGAGAGAGGAGGGAAAGGGAGGGAAGGGGAGGAGAGGAGAAGACTCCCATAAATCCCAATATCCAAATTTGGCAACTATTTTGTTCTGATTTTATTGGTTCTTCACCCAAAACATATTGCCTAAGATAACCCTTGATTCAACCTTCCTCCCTCTTAATTTCCAGAAATCTGAAGTTGTCAGTGAGGTCAGCCAATAATCACATTTGACATGTGGTGGACATTCTGGGAGTCCTTTGTAGATGAAACTCATATAAGCAAAAATTCTAGTGGCATTTTGGTGGGAGAAGGAAGAAAGGGAAGAGTGAGGTTAAGGAAATATTTCCACATGTATTAATGGAACATGTACAGGTGTAATAACACCTCCAACACCGTCCTCTTCTAGTCTGACTCCTGGGGGGAAAGCGAGTGTGAGGCTAGAGAGGGTTGTCAGGGTGGGACATAGGGCTGGAAGTTGGAAGGCATCCCTGGGTGCTCACATTTCAGCTCCCACTTAAGCATCCCCTTAGCCTGCGCACCTCCAGGCCTCGCTGCTTTCTGTGCTGTTCTGAACACCAGGGTCCTTTCTTCCAGAAATGGGACCTCTAAGTGTGAGAAAAGAACTTGGTCTTTTAAGATGGTACCTGAATGACTTCTGAAATTTAATTAGAACCTGTAGTTTTCAAAGCTTCCTGTTATGGACCGAATCGTACCTTCCTACATTCATATACTGAAGCCCTGACCCTGGTGTGACTGTATTTGGAGGTAGGGTCTCTAAGGAGGTGATTGAGGTTAAATGAAACCATAAGAATGGAGCTCCAATCCAGTAGTACTGGTGTCCTTGCAAAGAAGAGGAAGAGGCATCAGAGATGCACAAGCATGGAGAAAAGGCCATGTGAGGACACAACAAGAAGGTGGCTCCCTGCAAACCTGGAAGAGTGTCCTCACTAGAAGCCAGCCATGCTAGCACCTTGAACTCCAGAACCATGAGAACATAAATTTCTGTTTTTAAGCCACCCAATCTGTGGTATTCTGCTACAGCAGCCCAAGCAGACTAGTATACCACCCAAAGAGACCACCATTATACACTCTAGCATCAACGGGCACAGGGGGATTCCTTAAGCTCTCCATGTTGGGGCGTTTCCTAGCAGTTTGGAAGGTGCTTTCTATGGGATAATTCATACTCATATTCCTAACAATTACTTTTATTTTGTTTTTAAAAGTGCTGATTAGCCTATGATATATTAGAGATGGCTAGGCTGCCATGTTTTATATGTGCAGCTGTTTCTTGAATTGACACTCCTACATTTTCCTACAGCCAAGTGTGTTCATTACAACATTCGTGGTCAACAACAGTCCATTAAGTGACATCCATCTGACTGTGGGCAGTGGCTTCTGGAGTTATCACTAAATCTGAAACTCCAGAAAGGACAGGGCTAATATCCTCGGATAATGAAGGTCACCTTCTAATGACACATGAGCCTCTCTGGCCAGTCCCGTGTCTGGTCTGGCCCCCAGCTTACTGACTTCTAAGGACGGTTTGCACTTTGGTTTCATCTTTCAGTTCCGGGGGTTGTGCACCTGTTGCTTGCTCAGGAAGTTCTGTATGATAATCTGTGTCTCAACTGTTGACTTCCCTGCCCATCACCAATGGCTATGGCCAGTACACTCCTGGTCCAAAGTGGTAGGAAACTTGGTCCAAAGTGGTAGGGGAAGTTTGAGAATTTAGTTTATCTTTCTTTCTAGAGAAGGCTACTTGCATATTAGGGAGTACTGACACTCTGGTGTGGATAAACGGACACCGAATTGAACTCTTTAGAGCACTGCAGGGACTATTTATTCTACTTAAATAATTTTGTGAAACTAGGCCTGTTACAATGGGCACTAAAATAAAAACCCCTTTAGTTTCTTTGATAAGGAGAGTATCCTGACCAAAGCACCCTGTTCAAGTCTAACCAGCTGGTAGATGGAGGAGCATCCTCGTAGATTCAGCATCTGTACGTTCAGTACAAGTAAAGCTGGGGAAATCTGCATAAGACAGGTGGATTGTCTCACTGTTAGCATCCTTGTTGTAATATTGTACTATGGTTTTGAAAGAAGTTAACATTGGGGTAAAATGAATAAAAAGTACATGGACGCTCTCTCTGTTATTTGTTACGACTGCATGTGAATCCATGTTTATTTCCATAAACATTTTAATTTACAAAAGTTAGATTTACCTCCTAAATATAATTTTAAAATCTTTAAATGTTAACAAAACAGTGGGGGGAAATATTATCTGATAAAGCACAAAAGTGCAATCGCTCTCTTAATTATTTTAACTGTGGATAATGTTTTCCAGACTGTTCTATGGATGGGCATAAAAAATCAATTAATATGCACTCCTGTTAGGCTGAAAGATGGTATCCCATGGAAGTCCTGGGCAGATAAGTGAAGACATTTGAACATTTAGAACTATGCTGCTGAAACAATTTCAATTTTTTTCTGTTTATAACCATGAAATCAACCATAAAGAAGAAAAAATCTATTATCCCAAGATTCAGAGATGACCATGGTTAACATTTTATTATAGCTCCACCAGTCTTTGGCTCTTTTCAAATATATATTTACGTATAATAAGTATTTCCCCATTTTCTAGGAAACACTCATAAACATTTCCATGGCTTTTTGAAGCACATTCAAGGTGTGGTTGCACAAGTCTGGTACTCTCTCAGTGCACATCTGTGTCAGTGCACATCTGTGTGACAGGCTGGTGTCCATGCTGATGGGCTGGCATTTGTTCCAATTGGCCATGCCATGCTTTATGAAATACAGCTAGGAATTATTTTGAATATCACCCCTGGATTGTACTGTTTGGATTAACCATCTCTTTGATGTTGGGTAGGAAAGTTGTTTTGAAGTTTTCATTATGATAAACCTTGCTGTAATGGAAATATTTTTTTTCCTAATGCCTTTTCTGAATTTTAGGTTGTTTCTTTAGGATAGATTCCCAAGAGTAGAATTAATGGATAAAACTGTATGACTGTTTTTCAGGCTTTTAATATGCATTGTCAAATTTCTTTCCAAAAAGAGTGCAGTCTTCAGACATACAGAACTGTTCAGGAGTTTTCCAACGGTAGGCAAACTCTCTCCTCTTTCTCTCAGCTTTTCTGATGTTATAGGTAAAAGATGATACATACCTCATTGCTTTAATGTGAAATGAGGTCAAGTATTTTCTTAAATGTTTGTTAGTGACATTTGTGTTTTTCTTGCTTACAAATTGCTTGTGTATATACTTTGTGTATTCATTGGGACAGGGGCCAAATCATGCCACAGTAATGTTACTTGTCATGAATATTTGGATATTAATGGCTTTCTTTATTGAGAACTTTAGTACTTTGTAATACATAAAAGTGTGAGAGACTGGGGGCATTCAATTCTTTTTTGTAAGCGTAACTGTCATCTTTTTGCTATTTCCATGCTGCATTTAGAATACAGATACCCCTTGACTTACAATGATGTTACAATCTGATAAACCCATCATAAGTGGAAAATATTATAAGTCAAAAATGCATTTAATACACCTAACCTAACCACCCTCATAATCTAGCTTACTTTAAACATGCTCAGAACACTTACAATAGCCTACAGTTGGGCAAAATCATCTCACACAAAGCCTGCTTTATAAGAAGTCTTGACTATCTCACGTGATGTATTGAATACTGTGCATTATGTCAAAGTTGCAATGGTTTCATGCCACTGTGAAGTTGAAAAATTGTAAATCAAACCATCCTGAGTCAGAGGCTGTCTGTGCAGTGAGGAGAGTGAGGTTTGATGTGAAGCCCAAAATACGGGGAGTGAAGGAGTAAGCGTGTGTGTGGTGTCATCCAAGTCCAGGCTGCCATCTCAGTCCCCCAATCCTGGCTGACGCGAGGACACACTTTAAGAGAACAAAATCCGCTTTCCGAATCCCCAACCCACCTGTCTGTACCCTGCTTATTCCTTTCTGGGCCCTCATCCTCTCCCCTCTCTCCTCTCCACAAAGAGCACGCTGAGAATATGCACTCTCAGACCGCATTGCCCATAAGATGTGGAGTTTTAAAGCATTAGTCTCTGTTGGAGATTTTGCATGTCAATAGATTCGAGTCATTACAACACGCTGGAGAAACAGTGTGAACCTTTAGGCAGCAGCTGAGAAACGAAGCAGGATTTGGAGGTTGCTCAATTGTTCTTGAGTCAACTCTCCAAGCCCTAATGATTGGAACCAAGTTGGTAATCACATCATGAGAATGAAAGCGTGATTCTATACAATGACACTTTAAGTATTAATACGTTCATGCCACTGATGATCACATCGAGTGCCAGAAAAAAAATATTTGTCATCAGATTTCTCTATTCTCAAGTCATGTCTCTAATGGTTGAACCAAAAATATTAAACAAATATTTATTTTTCCATATGAATAAGGACATTTGGGAAGAATTGTGGTCTTAGCTCTGTATTTGTAAAACGTTATGACTCACTCATTATTGCATCAGGCCTCAGCATTAAAAGCTGCCCAGATGTTTACACTTAGTACCTCCCCAAAGTACAAAACATGAACTTCTTTCACGAGTTGGAAGCAATTGCAGCAAATCTGTAGGATTTAATGATGACCGTTCTCTATACCTTGATTTTGGCCATGGAGTAAATAGATGGAAATGACAGTGTCTTTTGCCACTTCATTTATTCCTAAATGTCCTGCAAGTCTCCCTGGAGGTGCTGCTTTATCTGCAGAACTTTTCCAGGCCCAATTGGATTATGGCCCCTCTAGGTGTAACACACAATACTGTGTCTGGGCGGCTGTCTACAGGGAACAGCGTGTGGTAGATTTGGGGGAAAGTACTTCCACTTGCTGTCTCCCCAATGTCTTGGGGACCATGTCCTGCTCACTGCCCTGTCCCTGGAGCTATAAGCTCTCCTGGTATACAATGGGCACAAAATGAATATTTTTATCAGTGAGTGAATTTAGTGGTAGTGTGTGCCTGGAACGACCGAGCCTGAGTCAGAAGTCTGCTTGGCAGGGCTGGGGTGCAGCCCTGGAGAGTGGGCCTCCCCAGCCAGCAGACCCCACCTCACTCTCTGCGTCACTGTCCTCACCAAGAGTGCGATGCTGCTGCTTCTGGGGAAGCCCAGCAGTGGACATTAGATGGCTGCCTCCACTCTGTGGAGTTTTTACCTAAAAACGTCTGTATCTTGGGCGGGGAGACATTTTTTATTTTTTGTTTTTTATTGTTTTTTTTCTAGGAGGACGAATCCTAGCATATGTCACAAGAAGCTTGACATGGAAAGGACTCTACATCCATTAGGCTTAATCAACATCCTACATCCATCGAAGAGTGTATGTCAGGTGTTTTAATAATTTTTTAAATTGACAAATAATAACTATATTTATGGAGTACAATGTGATGTTTTGCTCTATGCATACATTATGGAAAGGTTCAATCAAGTTTTGTTTTTCTCTATTACATCATTGTTCTTATGTTTTAAGAGGAGCTTTCTCCCTAATACAAACAGATCCATGCTTACTGTGACAAAAGCTACCTTCTTTGATGTGAAATCTGGTGTAGGTACTGACTCTTGCAGTGTCTGTTTTGATTAAGCAAGATTTTCAATGGTCAATTTTAAGCCATTGATATAAATATACAATTGATGACTTTTCTTTATTGTTTAAGCAGTATTCTGTCTGAATCTGCAATTGCTGCATCCAATTCTTCTGTCATGCCAGGACACCCTATTCCTGGGTAATCCTGAACAAGAGAAGCATGCAGAGGACTTTTTTCTGGGTAAGGATGTAGGGTACATTTGTTTTCCAGTGGAGGCCAGGTGGAATCAATGTCCACAGAATGTCAGTTCAGCCTATGAAGCAGAGATGAAAGTTTCTCCTCTTCATTGGATGCCCTGGGCATTGTACAAATGAAGCTGACCATACTTTGTGGCTAGCATTTAAAGGCAATGACTCTACTGGGCTTGCCTTAGAAATGGGGCTGAGTCTCACTTGTCTTTGCCTTTTGTAAAAAACCTATTCCAGAAAATCAAGGAAATGCTGGGCTCATTAGATCCATTTCAGTCTGCTAAGATGAAAAGCTGCAGATGCATTTCTGGGACTCTTCATTCCTCTCCAAACCTCCCAGTTTTCATCTGGTCCAACCTTGCTTCAGCTGGAGCTGTTTTCTTTGAGAAAGTCTGATGGTGATGAGTTCTCTCATGTTTTGCCTATCTGCAGATGTCTTCCTTTTGAAAGATATTTTCACTGGACATCGAATTCTGGGTTGACACTTTTCTTCTTCCAGTGCCTTCCATTGTGAGCCCTGGTCCCCCGGCCTCTGCCATCAGTCATAGCACTGTCTCCTGGAGGGAATGCATCTCTTCTCTCACGCTGATTTTAAGATTGTCATTTTATTTGCAGCATGATCACCATTATGTGCCCAGGTGTGATTTTTAAAATGTATATTGTTTGGGGTTAATGAGTTTCTTAGATCTGTAGGTTGGCTTTTTACCAACATTTAAAAAATTTTGGCTGCTATGAAAAAAATTCTGCTCCATTTCCTCTTTTTTTCTTTTCAGACTCAAATTTCATGTATGTTAGGCTGTGTGATATTGTTTCAGTAGCCACAAGGGCTCCGTTTGTTTAAAATACATACGTTTTACTTTTTTCCAGCATGGATAATTTCCATTGATTTTTTTTCAAGCTTACTTATCTTTTTTCTGCAGTATCTGGTCTGTTGATTGACCCATCGGTGAATTTTTCAGTTCCAGTGTTGCACTTTCAGTTCTAGAATTTGCACTTGGTTCTTATTTTATTGTTTCCATTTCCTTGGTGAGATTCTCCAGTTGTTCACTTATGATAACCATATTTTCCTGTAAATTTTTGAACATACTTGTAATAGTTGTTTTAAAGTCTTGTCTTCCTAAATTCAGCATCTGAATCATCTCAGGGCTCTCTTTGTAGAGAATGCTTTTTTGCTTCATCACACGTCAGAGTTTACTGTTTCTTTCCTTGTCTAGAAACTTTGGATTGGATAACAGAAATTGTGGCTGATACACTGAGAAGTCTGGACAGTTCTTCACTTACTCTGTTTTCACTGAAATCTCATGCTATCCTATGCAGAAGCTGTAATTGTTCCAGTTTACAGATAAGCAAACTGAGCCTCATGTTTGCTAAAGGACCTGCCCCACATTACACAGTTAACATGTGGTAACGCTGCCACTCAAAGCAAGACTTTCTGCTGTTATCTTGTTGGCTAGATTTGTCCAGTTGGAGGTGCTCTGGCCAGACCATCCCTGTGCACACGCTGCTGAAATTTATCCTGCGGGCCAAGATTCTGCTTCCTCTGAGAGGGGACGGAGGCCCGCGTGGCCCTCTGCTGTTCCATGGGTGGGGGCGGGGCACAGAGCTTTTTTCCCACTGTTTCTGAAAAAAACTGGGAGCACAATTAGCCCTGTTAGCCCTCACTGCACTGCTGTGCATGGCTGCCAGCTCTCCAGGGCCGTTCAGTAATCCCCAGGGCCTTCTGCAGGGGCAGCGATTAGCAGAGGTGTTTACATCTCTGAAATGTACCGGGCTATAAATAGAAGCTATTTTCCCAGCATCTTGTGATACTAGATTTGTTCTTTTCTTTTTCATTTTCTTCCCCATTTGTCAGCTTTAATAAAGAAAAAAAGGAGCAAAGCGTTGGGGGGGAGGGGCGGGTAGGGAAACGACTCACCCACCAAACAATTTCAGATTGACAGAAGGAGCATTCACTTAACTTCTCAGAAAATCTGTGGCAGAGCTCCTGGCCTGCAAACATGGAAACAAACTCCAAGCAAAACACACTGTCCTTCTGAGAAACAGAATGAAACTCAGCGATGCCAGGCAGCAGCCCCCTGCCTCAGAGATCTCAGCGATGGGTGCCCCTGAGAGCTCGGAGCTGTTTCTGACAGATTCTGGAACTGACACTCAGGCACCTTCCTGGCTCCTGGGATCTCAGACCTGTTTCCCCGAGTCTTAGAGTCTTGGTTATAGATTCTGTTTTTACGCAGACCTGGCATCCAGGAGCTGAAAACATTGTGGGGTTGTGCCTTCTCCTTTCTCACTCGGTTTCCCTGGGTAGGGCACTAAGGCTGTTCTATGATGATATAATGTACCGGCGGGAGGGGGGATGCAATAATTCCATGGTGGGGAGGGGCAATGCCTCAGGGACCCTGGTGCATGGGGTGTCTCCACCACACAGGGCAGCCTGCCCTCAGGACTGATGACTGCTTACCTGCATCTTCTACACGGGGGGCCAGACATTGGAATAAGAGCTTTTCATGCAGTATCTCATTTTTCCTGACAACAAGCCTATGAAGGAAGAACTTAACCATTTCACACATGAAGAAATTGAGGTGACCAGGATTATGTAACTCACCTCATGTTGTGCACCGGTCATAGCAGGGCCAGGCTTCACACCGAATTTGCAGCCTTGGCTTAGCTCCCAAACAACATTGCCTTCCCTTTCTAGTCCCCAGGGTTGACATTCTCCAAAAGGACACTGGGAAGAGCCAAGAATAAGAAAGCCGATGGTGAGATCTCTAGAGAATGTAAAGAGTGCTGATCCACAGCAGTTTCCAAAGCGTAGGGCACAATGAAAGCATCATGACTTTGAAAAGCACAGAGGCCTGAGGGTCCAGAAAGGAGACATGAGTACTGGTGAAAAGTCCTCTGTGGATACATCTGAATGTCCTTCTTCTCATAGAACCTCTTGCTGTCCCCACTCAACATTGGAGGGCTGCTGATGTGTTGGAGAAAAGAATAAATAAGAGAGAGAAGCTACCGGTTGGGGTTCCAAAGTTGCCCATGCTGGTTATGGTTGAGAGTTCGGAGCTGTTTCTGACAGATTCTGGAACTGACACTCAGGCACCTTCTTGGCTCCTGGGATCTTGTTTCCCAGAGTCTTAGAGTCTTGGTTATAGGTTCTGTTTTTGCACAGACCTGGGATCCAGGAGCTGAAAACATTGTGGGGTTGTGCCTTCTCCTTTCTTGCTCAGTTTATCTGGGTAGGGCACTAAGGCTGTTCTATGATGATATAATGCACCGGGGGGAGGGGGAGATGCAATAATTCCATGGTGGGGAGGGGCAATGCCTCAGGGACCCTGGTGCATGGGGTGTCTCCACCACATAAGTTGTGCAGTTGAAGGCAGGGATGCCCTGGCAGCAAGGAGAGGGGCATCTCTTAACTCCTCTTGGTTGCCACAGAGTTGCTTCTTGCTCAAGCCCACATGACCAAGGACAGGATCACTGTCCCCCACCAAGCAGGAGGTTTCACTTCTTGAGCACCAAACATGGGCATGGGACGCATCTCTCCTAGGGATTCCTGAGGCCATTGTTTTCGGCGCTCCTCGCATACCCGCATCTATTTGCACCAACATGCTCTGCAGGACGGCTCATCAGGGGGCCTCTCCCCTTCTAGGCTGCTGGCATTAGAGGAATGCAGACCTCAAGCTCGCCAGAAACTTTTACCTCCATGACTGTGGCCGAGGCCACTTGGATCCCACTTTCTTCAAGCAACACGTGCTCCCAGGTCCCATGAAGAGTGAAGGTTCTCTTGGTTACTTCCCAACTGACCTAGAAATGAAAAGTCGTTATTGAAACTCCTCCAACCAGGGAGCCCACACTCAGAACACAAAGGATTCTTGGGCCAGGGGAGAGAAAAGCACCTTAAAGTTATACCTGTAACAGGGAAACGCAAACGTAAATTAATTTCTCAATCAATTCCCTGCTACAAATGTTTACAAAATATCCCACTAGTCCATCAACCCAGAAGAACATATCAGACTGATATTACATATATAGTCCTGTAACACTACTTAGCTCCAATTATACAGCAGCTCCTCAACTTACAGTAGAATTACATCCTGATAAACCCATCATAAGCTGAAAAAACCATGTCGATAATGCATTGAACACACCTAACCTACCGAATATTGCAGCTTAGCCTAACCTAACTTAGACATGCCTAGACACTTCCATTAGCCTAGACTTGGGCAAAATCATCTAATACAAAACCCATTTTATAATAACATGTTGGATATATCATGTGATTTATTGAATATTGTATCAAAAGTGAAATACAGTGTAGCTGTACGGGCACTGGAAATGTGGTTTCTACTGACTGCCTATCACTCTGGCACCACAGTACAGTTAAGAAGACATCAAGCCATCATAAGTTGGGGATCATCTGTCAATATTTCTGTGTTTCTGTGGCTTTGGCCATGGCCAGGTCCTCTTTTGTCTTTGCTCAGGCCACACAAGGTCTTCTGGCCACAGTCTCACTTCCCTAAATCCATCCTCCATCCTGTGGCCATGGGTGTTTTAAATAATGCAAATATCATCTCCTTACTTCCACTTAGAACATCCCAGGGCTCTTCCTTGCCCGTAGGGTAAGTCCAGGCACCCTTCCCTCTGTCTCTGCAGAGTCCCATCTCTGTGATTAGCACTGATGCTCTGGATAGACCCACTGCTCCCCATTCCCTCCTCATAACTCTGTCTTTACAAAAGCACCTCCTTTGTCCCCCCCTTTACATTCCATGGGTGACCCCCCACTCATCCTTAAAAACCAGGCTGACCATCATCTCCTCCAAGAAGGATTTCCTAAGTTTCCCTGAGCAATTCTGCTGTTTCCTCATGTGTGACGAGGCTGGGACTTGGCCTTATTCTTACGGCATTTATTTCAGGACAGTACAATAACATGTGAACACCTCACTGCTTCTATTACAGTGCACTCTGGAGGGCAGACATTGTTTGTTCATTCATATTCATTTCCTGGTGCCATGCACCAGTCTGGAAACATGCAAACTCTCAAGGAATTGTGTGTTGAGTGGATTGCAGCTCCTTGAGTAGGAGTGCTGGGGGTATGCGGGGAGCCCTCTGCACAGAACTGCACAAGCAGAAAGAACAAGAAGAAAGGAATCTGCCCTTCTCATCCTACAACTTCTTTGTAAAGAAAATTGTGCTTTAACTTTTTCAACGAATAAAGTCACCAGGAAAGGACATGTTTTTCCCATCTCTGCCTGGGTTCTCGTGGGAGAGTAAAGTGATGGTGAGAAAAAAAAACTGTCTTGGGAAAGCAGAAGGAATAGGAACTGCCAGACATTGACATCAGGGTGTATGTCAGCTCTGCAGCTGTTGGCTGTGGAGACATCCCCAATGCAGGATATGTTCCCCAGGAAGTAGTCAATGCTGTCGCTGGTGGTATCACCTGGATCATTGGCTAATGGGTCTGAATCACTTGATCATTCCATGGCTATCACACTTATTTAATTTTCTAAAGACAGGAATGAAAATACATTTCAAGAAGAATACCAAAATGAAGTGCTCAGAGAACAAGCTATCTGTCCATTGTGTTCAAAGCATTCTAGAAAAATGCAAGGGAGGAGAAAAGCGTAGCATCTAGGATTGTGTTAAAGACCAATGCCACCGCTGAGGGATGTTCACTGCGTGTCTTCTTTTCATAAGGTAGTGTAAAGGGAAACACATCTGTCCTTGCTCTCCAAGAGCATATAATCCAGTTACAGAGATAAGATACGTGGTAAGACCACAGAGATCTGTGTTGCAAGGCACACAGGGACCTTGCTGCAGGGAGATGTCTTCAGAACACTAAAGGGACCCTTGTACGTGGTTGGTGGGAATGTAAATTAGTACAGCCACTTTGGAGAACAATATGGACACGCCTCAAAAAACTAAAAGCAGAGCTACCCTTAGATCCAGCAATCTCACTGCTGGGTATGTGCCCAAAAGAAAGGAAATCAGCATATGGAAGAGAGATCTGTACTTTCTTGTTTATTGCAGCACGATTTGCAATAGCGAAGATTCAGAAGCAACTTGAGTGTCCACCAGCAGACAAATGGATAGAGAAAATGTGGTATATATACACAATGGAGTACTATTCAGCCATAAAAAAGAATGAGAGCCTGTCATTGGTGACAACCTGGGAAGGAAATAGAAGACATCGTGTTAAGTGAAATAAACCAGGCACAGAAAGACACACATCACATGTTCTCACTCATTTGTAAAAGCTAAACATTAAAACAATTGAACTCATAGAGATGGAGGGTACAGGGATGGCTACCAGAGGCTGGGAGGGTAGTTGTGGGGAGGGTGGGTGGAGAGTAGAGATGGTTAATGGGCACAAAAATAGAATGAATGAGATCTAGCATCTGAAAGCATAGCAAGGTGACTACAGCCAACGATAATTTATTATACATTTTGAAATAACTAAAAGAGCCTAATTGGAATGTTGGTAACACAAAGAAATGATAAATGCATGAGGGGATGGATACCTCATACACCCTGATGTGATAATTACTCATTGTATGCCTGTATCCAAATATCCCATGTACCCCATTAATGTATACACTTACTATGCACCCATAAA